GGACGGAGGGGCTGACTGGAAAGAGCATTAGGGGACTCTCTGAAGCCAGGGATGTTCTCTATCCTTAATGGAGAGGTCAACACACAGGTCTCGTCAAAACTCGTCAAACTGTACATTGAAGAACTGTGCATCTTACTGTATCTAGATTATACCTCAATAAAAAATGTAATAAAAATTACATATGTAAATAATAAACATAAAAAATAATGAATATAGAGGAATAAATCTAACCACAATGTTCAAGACTTCTATCCAGAAAACTACTGCTGAGAGAAACTACAGAAAACCTAAATATATAGAGATAAGCCATATTTATACTATGCTACATAGAGAGGATTTATAAAACAGTAGGGAAGGATGAACTACTCTATAAACAATGCTGAATGATGTGAAAAAAGACACAGCGTCAGTTTTAAGCAGCAAATTAAACTGGAGATTGAAATAACTAAAATAGTTGATAAAATATTTCTTAAACTACTTTAAAATTCATCACTAACCCTATCAGAAAATAAGAACATCAAAGTGAAGAATTGCAGGAAACAGTGTAATGCCAAGGCTGTCTTTTGTCCTAATGGTTTTGTTAACCCGTAAACTCCTGCTTTAACTACGGAGTTGTGTGCATATGACAGGAGATAAAGTCTAGGGCCTGCCCAAAGTGGGGATGCTAATTCCAAAATTTACAAAACATGAAAGAGCATAAGATATGATGAGGTTCAGGACACACTATCACAAAATATGGCACACCTTGTCACATTGAATATTTCAAGCTGAAGGAACCTGAGAAATGGTCAGGAAGGATTTTCTGACCTTCCGCCAAAGCAGGCTGTAAAACCTTCATGTGAAAAGTGCCTTCCTATACTTAGATGAAAGGAGCACCCTTGTCTGCAAAGACAGAGGGACACTGAGAGGAATCTGAACGAATAGGCCTTGCTGTTTTCCCAAGTTTACCACACTTAGCTAATACACTTTCTGGTCCTAACATGTTTTTCCACAACTCTCTACTCTTCATCAAAACCTAGCCAAAAAACAACTCAAATTTAACCACTCCTTCAGGTCTTCATTTCCTTACCAAAGCTCCCATGCCTAGAGGAGATAGGGAAACGGAAGGACTCCATAAAAATCTGCTTTTGCTCCTTCTCCTGCTTCTGTTCTTGCCAGGACCTGCACCCCCACCCCACTTTACACATGCCTCAGAATGTCCTCCTTGTAAGGGACAAAGCGTTAATGATTTCTCTAGAATGGATAACATCTAAGGAAGAACCAGGTGAGAATGACCTGAGGAAGCCATCACATGCACATTCCAGAACAGGGCTCCAGATATCTCGATGCCACAGCCCCCTGGCTCCAAGGAATAATACCTGGGCCTTGATCTTTGTTCTAACCAGTTCCTGGATGCCTGAGGGGACATGTATACCAGACCCCAACAAAGACAAGACTCCCTCTTTTCCTTTCTGATCCCAGAAGCTCCATCCGTATCTGCTCTCTCCATATCTTCAATAAGCTCTGCTCTCACTTCCTGTGGGCTCACATTTGATTTCCATCCTACGTGAAGCCAAGGGGCCTCTTGGCCAATCCTGTGGAACCCTTCTGAGTCCCTGGACTCGGCCTGCGTGCATCAAAGGAAAACTTACATTAAATAAATCTGTATGTTTTTCTCTTCTTAATCTGTCTTTTGTACAGGGGCCCCAGCCAAAAGCCTGGAAGAGTGGAGGAAAAAGATATTCTTCCTCCCCTACAGATACCATGGTTGAAAACCATCAGAAATAATAAACAGCAAACTAACTAAATAAACAGATTTAATATATTTAAATGCTCAGAAAAAATGAAAATAACAATACTTAACATATTTAAGAAATAAAAGGGAAATTTGAAAAATAAAAGAGAGTAGTCAGATTTAAGAATAGATTGAATCAAGAACCAAATAAAATTTCAGAAATGAAAATACAATTGAAAAATTAAAACTCAGCAGATGAGACATCACGGAAGAAGGAGAATAGAGGAGAAAAAAGTATTCAGACAAGTTTTACAAAGACAAAGAAATGGAAAAAATAAAATAGAGGTTAAAAGGAATAAATAATCGGAGCACCTAGGTGGTGTAGTTGGTTAAGTGTCTGACTTTTGGTTTCAGCTCAGGTCATGATCTCAGGGTCCCAGGATCAAGGCCCGCATTGGGCTCCACACTTAACATGGAGTCTGCTTGAGATTCTCTCTTTCTCCCTTTGCCCCTCCCCCTACTTTCTTGCTCTCTCTCTCTTTCAAATAAATAAATCTTTTTTAAAAATGTTAATCTATTATTAAAAAAGGAAGAAATAAGAGTAATAATAGACTAAGAAACAGAGTAACTGGTTGGAATTCCAGAACAATAGAAGGGAGAACAGCCAAGAATCCATATAGGGGGAAAAAATTAAACACAGTCCTGGGGTGCCTGAGTCGTTAAGCATCTGCCTTCAGCTCAGGTCATGATCCCAGGGTCCTGGGATCGAGCCCGACATTGGGCTCTCTGCTCAGCAGGAAGCCTGCTTCTCCCTCTCCCACTCCCCCTGCTTGTGTTCCCTCTCTCGCTGTCTCTCTCTCAAATAAATAAATAAAATCTTTAAAAAAAAAAATTAAACACAGTCCCTACCTCACACATATATAAATATGAAATCAAAGATAAATCATCAATCTAAACAAAGAAGCTACAACTATTACCCTTTTAAAAGTAAACATAGACTATGTTTGTGATCCTTGAGAAGGTAATGATTTCCTAGCAAGAAGGCAAAAAGCGTTAAAGGAAAAACATTGATAATGTCAACATTTACAAAAATTAAAAATTTCTGCTGATCAAGAAATATGAAGGAAATGAAAAGGCAAGCTACAGACTGGAAGAACATGTTAACAATACATCTATCTGACAAATGATTAGTATTCAGAATATCAAGTTATAAAATATTCTTACAAATTAATAAAAGAAAAAACTCAATAAAAAATGAGCAAAAGGCTTGAACAGACACTTCATTAAAAAAGATATATGAATGGCCAGTAAGCACAGGAAAAGGTGCTCAACATCATTAATCATTAGATGAAAACTAAAACCACTAGAAGACATAGATTTACACTACTAGTATGTCTAAAATGAACAAGACAATACTATGTAGTAGTTATGTAGGAAAGACGAAGTTAGGGTTTGAAACCGATGGCCAAGAAAGAATTCTTGAGACGTCTTTGGTGCAAAAAGGTGATTTTATTAAAACACGAGGACAGGACCTGCAGGCAGAAAGAGCTGCAATGGGGTCATGAGGAGGGGCCCATTATATACTTTCAAGATGGGAGGGGGTTAGGGATAGTGTAAGTCTCTAAGGAATTTTGGAAGCAAGGTTTCCAGGATCCTGAGAGGGCTAGCTATTGTTGGGAAAAGCTCATTTATTACCGTCTAATAAAACCTTAGTCATGAGACCCTTCAGATGTATATCAGTGGGCCATATGCTTGGGGGATGATTGCCAAAACCTATCTTGGAGGTTTTAGAGATAAAGGAAGTTTTTCAAAGGAATTTTTATATGTTAAATTAGACTTGCTTGGGGGGGGTTGTTAGGTTAGGATTGCCTTTTGCCCTTAGCAAAGTATTAACATCGAGGCAGCTGAGTCCCTAGAGGAAGGTCACTTTGCCTGTTTCAAGAACTTGTCAATGGGCTGTAGGTAGTAAGGAAATTTAATAATTTTTTTTCTGCCTTTGTTTCCCACATCAGTAGCAGAAAAAAAAAGACAACACTGCACTACATCAAAAACTAATGATGTAATGTATGGTGATTAACATAACATAATAAAATAAAATTAAAAAAAAAAGACAACACTGAGTTTATCAGCAACGATGTGAAGCAATCGGAAGTCTCAGGCTTTATTGGTGGGAGTGTAAAATGGCACAACTACTCTGGAAAAATGCACGTTCCTGATGTGTTCTTTTTACCTTCCTCTATTGGATTATATGGGTCAAAACTTTCCCCTTTTTGCTTAAGCTAGTTCAGGTTAGGTTTGCCTTGCTAGCAGCCAGTGAATTCTGACCTAAACTAAAAGATAAGATACACAGGTTGGACCACTGGATATGCATTGCTGTTACGCTGGGCAACGTGGAACTTGGACCACTTCACCACAGGTCCTTAGGCAAGGACTTGAACTGTCCTGCTCAGATATGTATCCACAAAGCCAAAAACTCTGAACTGTGACCTAGATCTCATTTGCTTCTCTTCCCCTGGCTGCGCACTTGTGTTTTCTGCCTACAATGCCCTTCGATGCAGATAATCTGGGTCAATAAACATGAACGGGTAAAATAGAAGGGAGCAGGAAATGAGAAAAATCATGAAATAACAACTCATGAAATAATAAATGGCAATGGTAAAATATTAATTTTGGCATTACCATTGCCAAAATAAAATACTAATTTAACAACCAACTTTGGAGACTTGCATAATCTACATGCAGCATACATGACCATAAATTAAATATTGGCAAAAACAATGTATAATTTTCATGATTATGCAGACTGTGGCCTTCAAGAAAATGCTGGAGGCAATAGACACAGAACTACATTTAAGTAAGACGTTGCACATTCTAAGGATTAAGGCAACTGGATCTTACATAGACTGGTCAGCACACAGGAGAACATTCCGAACTGGGGTTTACATTTTTTAAACGTGAGACAAATGTAGTAATAAATCAAGTGGAAAACCCATGGGGTATTCAGTTACCTTCAAGTTTCATTACATATAAATAACATTAAGCTACTGGTATGACTTCAGGGTGTAGTTTCCTTCCTGAGAGCTGTATTTCTAGAGGAACCAGTCTGGTAGGATTTACATCTGGCTCAACATTATTTCTGTGGGAGACATTCATTCTTTGGTTCTTTACCTTGTGGATCTTAGCTTACTTTAATGCAGCCAAAGTAACCATTTCCCATTTTGCTTCACCACATTTTCCATCTGACCTTTCTTAACATGTAGAACCTTTAACAAAGAATCACGCATACCTGTGTCATAATGCACGATAAGTCTTTCACTGTGGCTGCCCACAGTCTGTGGCTCAAACTCCACCTCCAGCTGCATGGACTCTCCCATGTTAAGGGTTCCGGCAGGTGGCTCCACAGAGAAAGGCCTGCAGCACATGGTGAGACACACTATCAGAGCACATTCCTGACTGGTGTGAGGAGACATGGGGGTTCTTGGGCTGCAGCAAAGCTCAGAACCGACACCACAATTTGGTGATTCAGAAGTAAAGTACACTTTCCCCCCTGATGTGAAAGAACTTTGGTTTTAAGGTTAAAATAGCAGGACGAGATCTGCAAGTGTAAGCGAAACTTAAAATGATAAGGTAAAGCTCTTGTTTGTGCCCTTGCCATTCAGCCATTCTTTTAACATTCACGGAGCTATTCCAGTGGTCGGCCTTAAAACATGTATGCAAATACTGTAATTTGCAAAAGATAAATGCCTTCTGAGGAGTAAAAATCAAGTTTTGTGACAGTTCAATGAAGAGAAGGTTTTGTAATGGAAAACCGTATCAGAGTCCCAAAAGATCATACAATCACAAGAGGGTAACTTGAGGGCAGCTTAACAAAGGGTCTACTTAACGGGGGGGAAAGGGGGACTACAAATGATACAATCCCCCAGGGTTATAAACAGTAAAGCCATTATGACCTCTAGGCCCAAAGAGCCAAGGAGAAGAAGGAGTGGTTTTGAAACTCACAGGAGTCCTACGAGAATGCTGCTATATGAGGAGCAAGGAGCTTTAGTCAAGAGAGACAGTCAGCCCAGTTGGCCTCACAGGGAAGACACTATGGGGGAGAGTGCCCTAACTTCACATCCTCCTGTCTGATCACCTGCTGGGACTCCCACTGGCTGAACCTAACCAGAAGTCAAAGGCACGGGAGCCTGTTGACCTTTGTCATACAGGTCAGCCTCCCAGGTGACAGCAAGCTGGAAACCAGTGGAGAGCATTTAGAAAGGCAAACTGGGGACGAGTTCTGTGCCTTGAAAATAGAATTTGGGCACATAGACATGATGGGGTGATAGGGTGGATTTGAGAACAGGAAATAGTTTCATTTAATTTCCCTGGAAGGAAGTGGCAAGAGAGAAGCTGGATCTGATCATGAGGTACCTTAAATAACTTACAGAGTTCTTCCTTCTAAATAGAAAACCCAGCCCATTTAATTATTTTCATGGTCCATTTCACTTCTCTAAATTGCTATTTTTCCAAAGTAATGCATTGTACAATGTATCTGGCAGGCTAAGTTGTTTCTGATTATTTACTTCTATCACAATTGTTTTTTAGTTTCATCCCTGAAATCTTCCCTGAGATAATGAACTTAATGTCTGAAAGCCTAAGCTTCCTTCTGTGAGGGTACAGAGCTATGGCAAGGGTAGCACGGGGTGGTACCGAGATCTTCACTGCAATGCTTCCCACCACGGAAAACTTTCTCTGGGGCTCTCTATTTGGATCTTCCTCTACTTTCACTTCTTTATCTTCCCATTCCTTTGTGCTTTTCCCACACCCATAGCACCAATCCTCCAGTGAACCCCAGGCATTGCTGTAGAGGTTCTATGGGGTAGTGGTCACTAGCCTGATGCCAACTGAAAAAGCTCAAAACTCAGCTCTGCCATGACCCTGGGGCGAGTCATTGAACCTTCAATCTCCTGGTCTGTAAGATGAGGGTAAGGACAGCACCTACTCTACAGGGTGGTAGGGAGGACTAAAGGAGCCAATACAGGTAAATTGCTTAGAATAAAGCCTGGCACGTAGGAAGTGCTAAACTAATGTTTATTATTATTTCTGTTATCTCCACCACTGGCAGCCTCTAGATGGATGATGAGCCTGAGGATGATCTTGGATGTTTAGATGAGTTCCAAGTTTTTATTATTCTCCTCCCAATCTTTCACACTGCTCTAGGGATACTGTAAAAAGAACATCTACAGGTCATAACACATCCATCTCTAGTTCAACACCTTCAGTGGTCCTCATAATCTATGTAATAAAGCTCAAAGTCCTAGGCATTTGAGGTTCCACACGATCTGCTCCCAACTAGATTTTGCATTTTCATTAAACACATACATCTGTCCAAATGTCCCACGTTATCTGTCACATTCCAAATCAGGCTGGGGAGGGACAGGGTGGGAGGGCTCTGCTCCCTTCACCATAACCTCGCCTAGCACTGCACCCCCTCTCCCTTCCAATCAGACTGTGCCCCCTACACAGACATTCCCCAACTGCTAGGGTCACACAAGAATACTTAACCATTCTCCATAGGTCATATTTCCTCCAAAGTCACTTATCACTGCCTGGACTCAAAGATACCTCTTATCTTCCTGGATTATACATAACTATTATATATATTATATATAACTATAACTTTGTTTTTACTTCTCACTTCAGTTCACCATGTGCTATAGTTAGTTTTCATGCCTGTTCTTGTTGATAGCTATAGACTCAGGAGATGACAGGAAAGGGAAAGCAAATAAGCGGCCATGAACATGGGCTCCATACCAGGCACCAACTACACTGGTACCTTAAGTACACCAATCCTCTTAATCCTGGGAAGAACCTGAAGAAAGGGAGGTATTGTTATTTGCACTTTAGATATGAGAAAACAGATGCTCTAAAAGGGTAAGCGACTGGCCCAAAGTTACCCAGCTAGGTAGTGGTGGAGTGGGGTTGGAAGCCGGCCTGCAAGTTCAAGTTCTTTCTGCCTACCCAAACCACCCCTGAACAGGAAAGCCACCTGATTAGATGCATCTTTGTGTCTCTCACTCCATGCACTGTTCTTTACTCACAGAAGCCTCTCAAAAGAGGTTGTGGATTGAATTACAACCAACTTTCAGAGGGAAATAAAAATATCTGTAATCATTAAGTAATCTTTATAACATCATGGTGGGACAGAAAAGGAGCAGACCTTTAGTATCTGAAGAATCTCTGCCTCCTGGGATGAAGGTAAGTGATCCAAAATAAGTCTCATAGTCTTAAAAATTCCTTCCTCCCTGATGGCATCAGTAAGAATCTTAAGAATTGAGGACTGGGCCCAGTTTCCTGACTTTGGGAACAATGTTCTAATATTTTCTTCTATCTTTGTCTCCCTAGGTCCTAATATTTTTTCTTTTTCTTCTACATGGTACTTTCATTTTCTTTTCAAACATTTCTTGGTAGCAAAAAGAAGAGTTTTGAAATGAATTGGATAGTATTGCATGGCAGATCCTAAGCTAATTTTCTATGGACAAAGAGACCCTTCTCTAGGACCTCCAGAAATCCAAATTCTATGCAGATATAACAGGTACTTTTCTGTTGTGCTCACTGTTGGGTTTATATTACACTAAATTTCTTCAGTAGTCAAAAAAACCACCTGGGACAATCATTGCTACTTAGAGCTGCCTAAGCTTTCTCAATAAATCAGATGTTAATTGGGTCGAGTGTGTTCAGTTCTGGCACTTAAACATTGTCTATAATTTGATTTTGTACTTCATTTTACTATAGGCAGACAGGCTGAACTGGCCAGAAAACATCAAGTATCAGAAAATATTCTTAACAAAGAGGTAAAAGGCTGGCTCTGTCTACCAAAATGTTTGGTTTTGATATAATATCCTCATTAATACTAAATGCTTGATTAGGGAGGGAACTTGGGTTCATGAAAAATCATGAGCCACAAGAAAGATTTTGAATTTTTGTTCAATCCACTATAAACTGCTCTTGATAACTAAAACTCTTCCATCCTTATGAATCGATATTTTAGCAGAAGGCTAAATACTGGCCCTGTTATATTAAATATGGAATTTAATATTAGTATGTTTTCTTCAGACAATCTTTCTTATTAACTGATTCCTGACATGAGGTTTTGGATTTTGAGATTGCTTCTTAATCTTTTCTATTTCACCTTCCAAAATTAATCCTAATTTAATAGTCAGAATTATTCTGGTACCTACTAGACTTTCAGGTCAAACTTGTAATAAACTTGAAGAGTAATGGTTTATGTTCTCTGTATATTTTATAGCACACTGCAACTCCTTTTATTAGCATAAAAACATTATGCCTATTTTATAGTACTAGGAGCATCTTTTTATTTTAAATATTGTACAGGTTTATAGTTGTAGCTTTGCCTCGTGATATACTGTTGGTTAGGCATCCTATAAACATTTATTGAGCACTTATTTCTTCTAGGCACTATATTTGATGCTGGGAAAATAGAAATGAAAATAGATACAACCCTTGCATTTGAGAAACTCACATTCTAATAGGGACAACAGACATAAAAAGAACATTTTATTTTTTATAATTTATATGAACCTAAGCACTTATAAACCTAACCGTTAATTCAATCGTTATTTCAATGAAAAGAATATGATGCATGTTTTAAATAATTTTCTCTGAGATATTGTTTCTGTGTATTGACCTAAAGTGATCAGAGTAAGAGCAGACCCTGGGTTTTTTACTTCAAAATCTCACAGTATATCCATTGCTCTACCATGTTGGCAATCATATTAACTGAAAGACCGGTCCTCACCCCTGTGGGGGCAACACAGTCACCTGTGCATTTTTTTAGAATGGCCGCTTGTCAGGGCATCTCCCCCAAGATGCTGATTCAATACAACGCGACCACAAGTTCAATGACATCCTTTCTCATTGTAGCCAGCAGGGTTCTCAGTTGCAAACAACAGAAACCAACTTTGGTGAACTTAAACAGAAAAGGGATTTACTGGAAGGATTTGGGGTCGCTCAAAGAATTAATGGCATGGTTAGAAAACATGCATTTTGTGGAAAGAACAAAAAACTACTATATCATGAATAGATACTATACCTAAACAGGAAAGCAAAAATATTTGCAAACAGGGAATTGAATTGAGAGGTTGATTATACAGAAGATGAGAGAGATGAGAAGCCCAATTTAAGATGATGAAATCGCTCAGGGATTAGTAAAAGCAGTTAGCGATTCTCACCCCTGGGCTGGAGAGAAGATGAGGAGGAAGTGTTACCAGATTCTGGGAACATGGCAGAAGTTGGAACCATGGCAGGCTAGGCTAGGCCGACAGGAATCAGAACCAGAGAGGAGATATAGCCTCTGCTGGGGCCTCTGCTGAAGTCAGAGAGGGAGGAGGGGAAATGCCCTGGCTCCTTGCTACTCTGCAGTCTCCTTCTGGTAAGATGCACATAGTTTGATTGAAGAAGGAAGCAGGTTAACTGGCCTCCTAGTGGTCAAACTCAGCTGGAATGCAGTTGAGGCAGCTAGGAAAGCTAACCGCCCAGAGATACTGAATGGAGCCTGGGAAAGGCAAGGAGTGGATCCGAGGGTAAGTAAGCCCAAAACTGGCCCATGTTTGTTCTAATCCAGGTTTTGCTGTTAACTCACTGAGGGAACTTAGATAAGTCATGTCCCTTCTCAGGTCTTATTTCCTTCATCTGTAAAATGGGAATGTTGGACTAGAGTTTCTAATGTCTTTATGATTCCTGGCTCGTCCTTGAGTTGGCTCACCGTTTTACCTTGGACGTATTTCTATATTAGGAGAAAATGATTCACATTCATAGTTACACGGATCAAAAAGTTTTAGATCTTTTCCTGCAACTTCACACTATGAAATCTATGAAGTGATTTTACTTCACTTTTGTATGAATGTAGTATATAATAAATTGCCATTTCTATGTAGCTTTTAAGATTCAGCCACAGTCCAGGAAGATATGCTGCCTGCCCTTGTTTTTCTACCTTAGGTGGATTTTCTTTTTCGTAGGAAAAATACAAGTATAACAGGAAGTTTTTAATGTGTATTATGGAAAGTGGTGGTGGGAGGCCTTTTTTGAATCAAAAAGGATTTGTTCTTTCTTACATCACGGTGAGCCACTTAACCTGCTTCCTTCTCCTTCAATCAAACTATGTGAATCTCACCAGGAGATGGCAAAGGCTGTATAGGCATTTATGGACGAGGTCAAAAGACACTGATCTTCAAAAGAACTTTGACTTTGCTGGTTGATTTAGCTAAATGAGTTCAAGGGGTCTTGCTTCTGCCTGGGATGCAGAAAGCTAGAAAGAGGTTGCCCACCCTAACAATGAAAAAAAAAAAAGCCAGGTAAACATAAAATCACAACTTTTCTTGAACCAATTAGAAAGCAGATATTGCAGAGCAAACAAGTAGCCTGAAATCTAAAGATGGACAATCCCCCTGCCCCCAGGAGAGAGGGAAAGGTGCAGACTGCTTCACCTGTGGTAGACAGAACTTCCCTACAGGAAGAAGAAACAGAGAGAGAATGGAACAGAAATGTTTGAAGAGATAATGGCTAAGATTTTCCAAAAATAACGAAAGATCTAGGAAGCATGGAACCTTGTGCAGGATGAAAACCAAAACTAAACAAAAGCAAAACAAAGTCCTTAAAACAAAAAAGACAAAAACAAAACCCATGCCTAGACATAGCTTATTCGAATTATTAAAAACCAAATATAAAGACAAATCTTAAAGGCAGCCCAAGAAAAAGACATAATTACATCTAGAGGAACAAAGAGTTTTGGCAGAGATATCACAAGAAAAATCTAAGCCGAAAGACAATGAAATGCCATCTTTATTCTCCTGAAAAAAAAAATTACGTGTACACAGAACCGTCAACCCAGAATTCTAAGCTGTAGAGAAAATATTTTTCAAAAATGGAGGCAACATGCTTTGTTTCAAATGGACAAAATGGAAAGAATTTCCAATAGACCTGTGCTACAAGAAATATTAAAAGCAGTTTTTCGGCCAGGAGAAATAGGAATCCAGACATAAACTTAGATCTCCATGAAACTGTTCAGAGATAGTGATACTCCTGGGACATTCCTGTAAAGCCTAAACACAAATTCCCCCCTAAGGGATGTGCCCTCCACTCACATCACTGGCAGCCCTACCACCTACAATATGGCAGAACAGGTAACCTGAAAATACCTAGAAAGACTGGATAAAATATAACTTACATAAATGTGCAGCTGAGCATGCATTTAAAAAAAAAAGGCAAATCTACAGGATTTAAAAGCAAAGACAAAGCTAAGAACCAGAGCAGTGAGCCACTGAGCTAATGCTAGACCTGTCCTGGATTCTCAATAACCCTGAAGCCTGGGTTTTCATAGCCCTGCTGGAGCAGGAGAAAACACCTTGGGATTGTCATGACAGGGGACTGGTAAGCAAATCCCCATATACACCCAGGAAACTTAAAGGACTACAGAAACATTCTCCCATTAGCACAAGGGAAAATGTCTGTCTTGGTTTTAAGTGAGGGAAACAAAGTTTCTCTAGAGAATTCATAACTTTGGACATGTGTCTCATGTAGGTTCGTATGAATATACATTATCAGTCCAGGAACCTCTAAGCCAAGAAATTACCAGAAGAGAAGTCTACAGAGTCTAACTTTTAGAAACCAAGCAGAAGCAAATGCTAATCCTTTCTGGAGAGATGTGCCCTTAAACCTCCAAAGAATTCCACAGATAATGCCCTTTTCAAAATGAGTTCACAATCCAGACCAATACACACACTACTTCTTAAAAAGTCATAGAAAAGAACTTGACCTTGCTTCCTGTCTTCCCAAGCTGGTCATTCTTGTTATGGCGCCACTGATCAACCACCATTCACATGCCCTGTGACAATCGTTCTTGCCTGTCTAGTAAGGGAGTTCCTTGAGAGCAAGGACTATCTCACCATCTTTGGTGTCTGCCACACTGTAGCTACTCCATAAATAATCAGAATAAATTCCTTCTCCTTCACTTACTACTCTGTGCTCTTTAGAAACTTATACAAACCCTCTATGACTCAGTCTTCTCATCTTCACAGCCAATGCAGGTTGAGTTCTACTCGCATCTCATTACTCTGAACTCTTCTGCCTCCCTCTTCTATTTCTTTTCAAAGATTTTATTTATTAACTTGACAGAGAGAGAGAGGGAGCACAAGCAGGGGGCGCGGCAGGCAGAGGGAGAAGCAGGCTCCCCACTGAGCAGGAGCCTGATGCGGGACCTGCTCCAAGGACCCTGAGATCATGACCTGAGCTGAAGACAGATGCTTAATTGACTGAGTCACCCAGGCACCCCAACTCCCTTTTCTATTTTAAAGGACCCGTGTGATTACACTGGGCCCACCCAGATAATCCAGGATAATCTCCTCATTTTAAGGTCAGCTGATTAGCAACCTTAATTACATCTACAGCCCGAATACCCCTTTGCCACGTAATTTCACATATTCACAGGTTCTGGGGATTAGGACACAGACATACTTAGGGAGCCATCATTCTGCCTAACACACTGGCAATTCATGTGAAGAAACAAACAATAACAAAAAAACCCACTTGTTATATAGCACTTTATATAGTACCAGCAATTTATTTATTTACTTATTTTTTTTTCTTTCTTTTTTTTTTTTAAAGATTTTATTTATCTGTGAGAGACAGAGAGCACGAGAGGGAAGAAGGTCAGAGGAAGAAGCAGACTCCCTGCTGAGCAGGGAGCCCGATGCGGGACTTGATCCCGGGACTCCAGGATCATGACCCGAGCCGAAGGCAGTCGCTTAACCAACTGAGCCACCTTTTTTAAAGCAAAATCTGGGGTGCCTAGATGGCTCAGTCGGTTAAGTGTCTGCCTTTGGCGCGGGTCATGATCTCGGGGTCCTGGGACTGAGTCCTTCAGCCCGCTTCTCCCTTTCTCACTCTCCCTCTGCTCTCCCTCTCTCTGTCTCTCTCAAATAAATAAATAAAAATAAAATAAAATAAAATAAAAAATAAAAATAAAGTAAAATCTACACCCAATGTGGGACTTGCACTCAGGACCCTGAGATCGAGAGTTACATGCTCTACCGACTGAGCCAGCCAGGCGCCCGCTATGTGTCAGCATTTTACATTTATTCATTCATTTATTCCTTAGAACAACCCTATGAAGTGATTACTCCACTTTTCCCCATTTTTTCAGCCAAGGAATGTGACCCATGAGCCAAAGAATGTGGATGGCCCCTGGAAGCTGGAAAGGGCAAAGAAATGGATTGTCCCTGACGCCTCCAGAAAAGAACACAGCCCCACCAACACTTTAATTTTGGCCCAGTGAGGTTTCTGGTCTACTGAAATATCAGATAAGAAATTCTGTTGCTCTAATCCAGTAAGTTTATGAGAATTTGTTACATTAGCAATAGAAAACTGATAGAGCCAGTTATAAAATTCTCAGTCAAAACATATATTTATTAATAGATTTCCATGGGCAATTCTCAATGCTAAATAAAAAGATTTGTATCAACGTTTCAGAAAACCACCCACACCCAAACCCAAGGTGACTCTAAGGTCATCTTGAATTTTAGTTTCCTCTTGGACTGAAGAGGAAGTTGGCCCTCACATCAGTGAGGTCTCTCAGCCTTGCAGCTGAAGACTGTAACAAGGAATTCTACCCTGCCTGCTATTCTAGCAAATTACTTGTGCTGACTAGATTTAGCTATAATCAATCAAAAACAAGAACTGAAGGAATGCATACCTATGAGTTTTCATGTGAAACACAGCATCTTTGTTGCCAATGTTTCGTACCAGCAGAATCTTCTGAGTGCTGTATTTGACAGGGCAAGTGGAAAAATCCAGCTTGTCAGGAAAATCTAGGATGGCTCGTGCACCTCTAGCTTTGATGGGTACAATGAACTTTTCTCTTTCAGTTATACAGGTCAACATATGGGCATAATCCTACAAGAGAAGGGTACAATCATTATTTGTGGAGATGCCAACATGATCAAGGTAACTGTGCAAGAAAAATGGCCATTGGCCAAGTGTCTTGCAAAACAACTTAATGTATTCTGTGAAAGCTCCTCAAGACCATTATAGATGTGCTTTCAATGAGACACTCTTTTCTGAGAGAAAGAGAACAGTTCAAGTGTTAAAACCCACAAGTCAGTGAAGAAGCTTATGCTTTGTGTGTTCTCCAGATATTAGGGAGGTGGGATGGGGGCCAGTCAAGGCACATTTTTCTTTAGATCAGACAACGTTCACACTAGTTCCTTCACATCCTCCTTCTAAACCCTATTTATCCTTCAAGCCATGAGATTAATGGCTCCAATTTATGATCTCTCTAAGCCCATACTCTTAGCATTATGACTTTGCAGCTTCTCTATTATGAGTAGTCTATTTCTCCATCTCGTGCTTTGACCAATGGAATGTGGTAGAAATTATGCTATGCCAGTTTCAAGCTGAGGCCTCAGGAAGCCTTGGGCATTTCAGTCTTGCTCTTGGAACCCTGCCACCGCCATATGAGTAAACGTTGTCCAGCGCACTGCAGATGAGAGTCCAAATGTCCCAGCCAGGACTATGCCAGGCCAGCCTACATCCCCAGATATGTGAGAGAACCCAAACAAGATGAGCAGAATTGCTGACCCTACACATGAGTGGGCCCAGTCAAGACCAGCTGAACCAGAGTCTTGTGAGCAATAATGTTAATTATTTGAAGTCAATGGGTTTGGGGGTAGTCTGTTACTATATACAATAACAAACTGATACATAGCCCAGTTTAAACCTCATCTCTTGTGCAAAGCCCCTCACTGACCATTCTACATAAAAAATGCTGAGGTCCAAGACATGTATCTTCCCCAGTCTTAGGTTTAAATGCAATGAAATGCTGAATTAAGTTACCCTTTGTATCACTTCATAAGATAGAAAAGTAGAACTCTCACCCTCGATATACCAAAGAAAAAGTAAAAATGGAATTCTTACCAACAAACAAAACTAGATATAAAAAGAAAGTATTAATAGTCCCCTCAAGAATAGACCAGAAGCTCAGAAGTTGCTATGAAATTTTGTTTTGTTTTAAATTTTCCCATCATTTAGCTGCAAGGCAACACTGGTAAATGTAAAGTCCTCTCGGAACTTAAATTTCCTTTCAGCAATCATGTAGTAAATGGTATTAAAAGGTGGAGGTTTTAGAAAAACTCTCTTTGGGCTTTAGGTATAGAGTGGGAATGAGAATGTCTGACATATAGACGGACATATAAACCTGGCTAATCACTCAATCTCATGCAACCCACAGGACCAGGATAAAGCAATGTTCTCCCCGATTAGTTTATTTATTCAATCACATTTATTAAGTGTGCAGGTACCAGGTACTGAGTGAGGTGTGCAAATACACTGAAGCAGAAAACGAGACGTGGATCACTTCAAGCTTATATAATGATGTAGATAATGAAAAAGTAAATCAAACACATCTAATATACATGGTAACACATATATAAAGATAAACTTGACAGGACTGCTCACATGACAGCGCCCTGTACACCTGGAGTCTCTCTGTCTCCCTGAACTCCAGACTCATACCAGCTGCCCAGTCAGCACCTCACTGGAGGCAAGCTGATCGATGCCACTGCCTACAGTTGTGCAGAGATGGAGAAGGAATAGGGGCCGAAATCCAGCCCACTCTGCTGGCTCCAGCTGCATCAGTCCAGAGGGGGAGACTTTTTCTCATGCCCACAAAGGCTCCACAATGCAATCTGGGGTCCTGCTCATGGCCTTCCCTCCACCCTCCATCTGTTCCCCCACTGCCTCCCCATCTTGGTACCAGCATCACCACTGTTCCAGTGGCCTGGATTTAAAACCCTGGAATGAGGCATTCTTGATCACTCTATTTCTCAATTTCTTAGGATATTCCTGCAGGACTGACCTCCAAAATGTATTCAGAGCGCGATCACTTCTCCCCATCTCTGCCCTGCTGCCCTGACCTGAGCCACTCCAATCTTTCCTGGGCTAGCTAAGTCAACTCTATTTCCACCCCTGCTCCCTTAAAGTCTATGTTCCACACAAGGGCTCGAGGGGTCCAGTTAAAATATAAGTCAGCTTAGGCTGCTCCTCTGTTCAGTCTCCCAGGCTGAGACCTGGAGGGCTTGTGAATGCTACAGCCTGGCGCCCCTGTCACCTCTCTGGCCACGGCTCCTCTCCCCACTGCTCACTCCGCTCCACTGCAGGTATCCCTGCTGCTCCTCAAACAGGCTAGAACCGCTCCTCTTCCAGAGCCTTCAAACACAATGTTGTTTCTGTGCAGAACACACTTTCCTCTAGTCACTCACAGAGCTCACTCCCTCACCTCCTTCAGGACTTGGTGAAGCTCACTGCTCACTGAAGCCTCTCCTGACAGCCCTGGTTTAAACTTACCTCTCCCCCATCACTCCCCAGCCTTTCCTCCTGCCTTAGTTTCCCTGAAGCATCCAACATAGTCTGTATTTTACCTATTTACTGAGTCCACTATATGCCTGCCCCTAATATCTCCAACATCAACAGGGACTTTGCCCATTGTACTGACTTCATATATCCAGTGCCTAGAAGAGAGCCCAGGACATAGTAAACGTTCAAAAGATTTGCTGAGGGCAGAAAAATGAGTAATGCTATGTTGGGCAGTGGTGAGCGGTGAGAAATGAAGCATGAGAAGGGGATGGAGAGTGATCGCTTGCTTGTTTACATGGCACACTCGGGAAAGGCCTCCATGAGCGGTAACATTTCAGCAGAGATCTGAACAAAGTGAGACCTGAACCGGGTGTGGCTGGACGGCATTCTGAGCTAAGTGTGATTTGAGGCCAGTGGTCAGAGGTCAGAAGAGGTTAGAGACACGGCAGGGAGGTAATAGGGGCCAGATCCCACCAGGCCTGGTAAGCCAGTTAGGACCTGAAGATGGCCCAAAGCCTGGTGATGCTGAAAGCTTATCATGACGGAGCTGATTTACATTTTAGGAAGATCACTAGCTGCTCTGGGGCGACAAACTGTAAGAAGCTAAAAATGGGAAAAGTGAGGCAAGTCAGGAAGCCCCTGTAGCAGTCCACGCAGAGAGGCCAGTGACCTGGCCTACTGTGGTAAATGCTTCATCTAGCATTCGGTGAGTCACGAGTACTCCATAAACTCTAGCTGTCATTATTAAAATGTTGTATTAAACACAGTGACTTGCAGGAAACGACAGATGCGGAGAAAGGGGAACCCTCCTACACTGTTGGTGGGAATGCAAGCTGGTGCAGCCACTCTGGAAAACAGTATGGAGGTTCCTCAAAAAGTTGAAAATAGAGCTACCCTACAACCCAGCAATTGCACTACTGGGTATTTACCCCAAAGATACAAATGTAGGGATCCGAAGGGGTACGTGCACCCCGATGTTTATAGCAGCAATGTCCACAATAGCCAAACTATGGAAAAAGCCAAGATGTCCATCAACAGATGAATGGATAAAGAAGATGTGGTATATATATACAATGGAATATTATGCAGCCATCAAAAAGACCCAAAACTTGCCATTTGCAACAATGTGGATGGAACTAGAGGGTATTATGCTAAGAGAAATAAGTCAATCAGAGAAAGACATGTATCATATGCTCTCACTGATATGAGGAATTCTTAATCTCAGGAAACTGAGGGTTGCTGGAGTGGTGGGGGGTGGGAGGGATGAGGGGGCTAGGTGATAGACATTGGGGAGGGTATGTGCTATGGTGAG